GATTAACTTCTCTTTCACTTGGAAAAAATGATTGGAAAGGAAATCTTGGAACTAGGATTAGGTCAAAGCTTTTTGGTCCTTTAATGGTCAGGGGAGCTTATGAAAGAAGACTGGGTTATAGGTTTGTGGGCGTGGGAAAAGGGGGTGTCTTTTTCTGCTCCCTATTTCCCAAAGTAGGCAAACTGCCACTCCCCAACCTATCCATCTTCCTGTCGCCCTAACCCAAAAGCCCAGCAGCCATCCCTGTTTCCTACGCATGATTGATGCCAAGAACATAGCCACAGCACAAGGGGGAGTGAATTCTCCTGCTTCTTGGAAAAATCCTGCTCTTCTTGGCAAGAAGCCCAGCAGGACTGGCAGTATGCGCCCTAACGTGGCAGAGATGGGGGGTGGGGGTGGGGAGAAGGATATGGCCGGATTGGAATACAAGGAAGAAAATGGTGGAGAATGGGAAATAGATTTGAGTGACATGGACCTCTAGGGGCTCCCCCATCTTTGTTCATGGGGCACCGACTTGGGGTAGGGGGAAGGGTGTGGGTCTAAAAGGCGGGAAACAGAGGGACAAGGAGAGCCAGGCTGTTGGTGCAGCCTGTCCTAAATACCTAGGTAAATAACCTCATCCCACAGCACACACGTGTGTTTGCACAGAAGGACCTGAACTCACTCCAGACCTTCCCTCTGTCTCCCCCCCACACCTGTCACACCCCACCCAATTCTGACCTTTCAGACCTTGTCACTTCAAGTAACCCAAGGAAGGGAGTGACAGCCAAGGGAAACCTCTTTTTTTCCCCCCCTCTCCTTGTCATTACTGACGATCTCTAGGAAGCTAGATTCAACTTCCAAGCTATATCTTTATTCTTCTGGTTCTGCCCGTGGGACTGAGGACCTGGGCCGGGGTCTTCTTATGCCAAAGGAGGATTTGGGGTTTAGGATTTGAGGTTTAAGGAAGGCCTCCCTTGTCCCTAGACATCTCCTTTACTGACCTTGATGCCTGAAGGTTGATGATAAGGAATGCACAGAATCATAGAATGCAGAATATTGGAAAAGACCCTTAGCTATCATGGAGCCCAATCCTCCTTGCTTTCCTGATTCACTCCTTTGAGTTAAACATTGTTCTCTTTTTGTGCCCTCTTTGAACACATTTGGAGGAATGGGAGATTGAGTTCTTAATATTTTCATGTCAATGAACATATCAAAGGATCATAGGTAGTATCATGTATTTAGAATAATAATGAACCTTACAGATCATTGAATCCAACCCCACCCGTTATTTCACATAGGAGGAAATTGAGGCCTAGAGAGATGGTTATTTGCCCAGCTTCAGTAGGAGTAAGACCAGGGCCTTCCTTACTCTAGGTCCAGTGTTCTACCCACTATGCCATGTTGGTTATCCCCTAAGGAGATAATCAACTGCCCTCCTAAGAAGATGGTTAGTTGAAGACCTTTAATCTGGGATAAGATTGAAGAGAGAACAGATAACTAGGAAGATCAAGAATAAACTTACCTTATTTTACAAGAGATGATAGAAATTGTAGATGTCACAGTGGATAGTGTTGGACTTGGTGAGTCAGGAAGACCTGAGTTTAAATCCTGCCTCTGGTACTTACTAACTGATCTTATTCAAATCACTTAACATCTCAGCCTCAGTTTCCTCATCTATAAAATGGAGATAATAGCATCTGCCTTACAGTGTTGTTGTAAGGATTAAATGAAGTAATATATGCAATGAGCTTTGGAAATCATAGGTTGTTATTATCAGATGAGGGTTTTGAGAGGTCTGAGAAGGAACAATGAGGAGTCCAGAAAGCTCTTTATTGGATTGTTATTTTATTTCTGGAGTTCTGGAGTTCTGATTTGGAATCAAAATCAATCCTTCAAGTATTTATTAAGCTCCTACTATGTACCAGCACTATATGAAGACACAAAGAGAAAGAAGAAACAGTTCCTACCATCAAGGAGCTTACATAAAGGTTTTTAATCTCAGTTCTGCCATTACCTTTATAATCTTGTAGAAATCTCTTCACCTCCCTGACCTCAGTTTCCTCTGCTGTAAAAATAAAAGGGTTGGACTAAATTATCTCTAATATCTCAGGTGATCAATCTCTAAGGTCCTTTCTGGGTCTAAATCCTATGTTCTTCCTATGCCTCTGAAATCCCACCATAAATATGTCTATCCTAAGAAAAAAAAGGAGTAGAGTCCAGTTTACCAAGCCAACCAGCATACAGCAGCTGTCCAGACTCTCACAGGCCAAGTCTCTCCTTTGACAAAGCATTCACAATTTTAAAAAATTAAATGTTTTATTAAAAACTTATGTAGTGATTGCATATACATAACCCATATCAAATTGCTTATCATCTTAGGGAGGGAAGAGGTGAGAAAGAGGGAGAAAATTTGGAACTCAAAATTTTTTTAAAATTAATGTTAAAAATTGTCTTTATATATAATTGGGAAAAATAAAATTATATATGTGTATGTATATACACATATACCTATACCTATACCTATATGTATATTATGTATGTGTATATATGTGTACACACATATATATATAAATATATATCACTTATGCAGCCTTACCCTTAAACTAGGCAAGTTTGGCTGGGGCAGGAGTGGGATTATTTAATTTAATTTAATTTATTTAATTTAATATTAAACATCAGCACAACTAACTAAATTGCTTGGTAGCTTTTGCTTGGTAAACTGAAAAAAAAACGAATAAATGACTAAAACAACAAAGCTTTTAACATTTAAACTGGCTTCTGTGCATGAAGTGGCTAATGACTTTGGAGCCATAACAAGATTCTTTGTCCATTCATTCTCAGTCACCTGTTCTCTCCTACAAATCACAGGATCTTAGAGAGACCTCAGGCACTATTCAAGCCAACCTCTCATTTTACAGATAAGAAAACTGAGGCCCAGGAAAATTAAATTTGCCCAAGGCGAATATTTCATAGTGAAATTTTCAGTGTGAGCATCTATGCCTCAGAAATGGGCAAATGCTACAAACCAGAGCTTGATTTATTGTTTTATTGATTGTCTAGACTTGAGAAAGTGATAGAGAAAATGTTAATAATGCAGATTAATCTTAAAAGTGTGTATCTTGGATACCTTCCCCCTCTCCACAGAAAACCAATTGTTAAATATTTACCAGCACATCCCTACACATGGTACAATTAGAGGGTAATTGGATCTGTTCTCTGCCTGGTCTCTAAGGACAGAATAAGAGGAAACAGTCTGTCTCACAGGAAGGATTGAAGTTAGACTTCTGAAGGCACTTCCTCATCTGTGTATGTACATGTGTGGAGGTGGAGTGGGGTGTAGTAGGATTGTCCTAGAAAAGGACCAATGACTTCAGAAAGGTGATGTCTTGACTTGCAAGTGAGTTGGATTTAAGTGAGGCAGAGGTGGGCAAAGTCATCAGCCACACTTTTTCCTCAGGGTCATCGGAATCCAGTGGCAAGGCATAGGTCAGGAAGACTGTTGATAGCCCAGGATGCAGTGGGAGATCTTGGCCTTTTTAAGCTAAGGCCTTTCCCAGATCTCATTTTGTCTGAGGCAACATCCATTCAACGATTCAAGGCTAGGTAAGAATCAAGGTTAAAAGATGGTCTGCTTTGCCTTCACAGAAGAATCTTGATCAGGGAGGAGAAGACTCTCAGAGTTTCTGGTCAGAACAGAAACAATTGGTATTTACACTCCGGTACTAGGATAAATTATTCAGGAAAGAGGTAGAAAACTTTTTTTTTTTAAGAAATAGGTCTGGAGACTGAGGAATAGTTAGGCCCCCTTACCCTAGGGGCCTAGCCCAGAAGCAGAAGGCTGCACAGTAATATTTCTTTTTTTTGTTGTTTTGGGGTTTTTTTAGGCAATTGGGGTTAAGTGACTTGCCCAGGGTCACACAGCTAGTAAGTGTCAAGTGTTTGGTCTAGAGGTCAGATTTGAACTCAAGTCCTCCTGACTTCAGGGCTGGTGCTCTATCCACTGTGCCGTCTAGCTGCCCCCTACAGTAATATTTCTTGATGGTGTTTCCTGATTGAATGAGCAGCAGAGGAATAAGGCCAGAGGAGATAGGAGACTATAGGGCCATGGATTTGAAACTGGAAGGTACCTTAGAGGTCATCTAGTCCAACCCCTTCATTCTACAGATGACAGAGAGTGACTTACCCAAGGTCACCCAGGTAGTAAGGGACAGAACTGGAATTCAAATCCACACCTTCTAGCTCCTGATTGATGGGGACCTGGGTCTTAGAGGTAACACGGTTCTGTAGAGGGTAAGAGTGAGGATCTAACCATGAGGAGTCAGGAGAGCTGACTCTACCCTCACCTAGGCAATTTACTTAATTTTTCTGAGCCTCAGTTTCCTCAGCTCTCAAATGGGGATAATTATTGTCATACTTCTTGCATCACATGGCTATGTGAGGATCAGACAAAATCATGTGTGTAAACTGCTTCACTTAAATAATTATATCAAGCATTAATTAATTATAAAATTAATAATTATTAATTAATATGTTAATTGATTAACTTATATTAAGTAATATGGAAATGTCAACTCTCATTATCATTACTGTTGTTGTTGTTGTTGTTGGAGTGTTTCTCCCTCCTAGGGACTCATGAGGTCAAATCTATACACAACTTCCCCTTCTCTCATCAGTGTCCTCTGGTGAAGGTGAAGTTCTTTCCCCTCTGCTCCTTGATCTAAATACCACAGCCCCAACATGGGAGACACTGGCCAGAATACATTGCCTTCGTTCGCCCTCTCTCTCCCTAGCCGTGGTGCATTTCCCTTTTCGAATGGATTGTCTGTGTTTTCCACAGCACGTCCGGGTCCTCTCACTGCCCAATGACCCTGAAGCCACTGAGCTCCCTCCCCTGCCTTCCCTGAGCCAGGCAGGGTACCTGCCCAGCCCCTTATCCCCCTAACAGGCTTAGCATCCCCTGCTGAGCGAGCGGGACTTTGGAGATGAAGCTGAAATCCTTACTCTCCTATCCTCCACAGACACCTCGGTCAACCTGAGTGGAGCCATGGGCAGTGCCAGCCCCGGCCTGAGTGCCCCACCACCAAGCCGCCTCCTCTTGCCTGATACAGGGCTACGGAACAGCCTGGAAAAGGGGTCAGGGGCCGAGAGGAGAGTCTGGAGCCCCAGCCCCCCTGCTACACCTGAGCAGGGTTTATCGGCCTTCTATCTCTCCTACTTTGATATGCTGTACTCTGAAGAGGGAACCTGGGGGGGAAAGGGTCCAGTCGAGGAGGACCAGGAGGAGGCCCCCAAGGAGCCAGAGCAGTGCCCCATCATCGACAGCCAGGCCCAGGGGGCGGGTCTAGACTACTCCCCAGGCAACCTGACCCTGGAGGAGCACTCGTTGGAGCAAGTACAATCCATGGTGGTCGGGGAGGTGCTGAAAGACATCGAGACTGCCTGCAAGCTTCTCAACATCACCGCAGGTCGGGGGCTGGGATGAATGGGCCTTGGGGTGGCTGGGTGCTGGATTTCGGGTCAGGAGGGAAACCATCAGTCTCTCAAGCCAGAATGAGCCTTAGAGTGCTAGAAATATGAGGGAAGGAGGGGGATTTCTTACCAGGCTTTGCCCATGCCCTACCTCCCCCCCACCCCATACACACATACTCCTTGATGCGGTACCCAGGAAGGAAACCTTATTCTCTGTCAAGTGGTGCTCTTAAAAAAAAAAATCTGAGTCTCATATACACCCTGCCCATAAACTCTCCTTTATATCAAGTCAAAGTCAGAGGTAAAAGGAACCTTAGAGCATACAATGTGGAATATCTGAGTTTAGAACATGGAATCCGGGGAAGGGTCTTTAGAACTTAGAATATCAGACCATGGATTATCAGAGCTGGAAGGGACCTTAGAACTGGGATGTTAAGACACAGAACATAGAATATCAGAGCTGAAGATACCTTAAAGTATTGAATGTTGTTAGGATAAAGAACAGAATGTCTGAGCTGGAAGGGACCTTACAATATTGAATGTTAAGACAAAGAATATAGAATGTCAGAACTGCAAAGGACTTTTAGGGACTGTCTAGTCAAATCAAACCCTCTTACTTTTTTTTTTTTTTTTGAGAAAGGAACTGAGATCCCGAATGGGAGATAGCTGATGACCTCCTTTGAAGCCCTTCCCCAAGCTGCCCCTTTTGTGACATCTTCTCCCATTCCAGAAAACTCTTGGTGCCTTTCTGATGTTCTCCAAGAGAAAATGCTGAGAAACTTGAAGAAACCACCCCCAGGCAAGAATTGAGTCTATTCCTTCCAAGGAACCCCAGACACAATCCTATCCGGGCTTCTTTTTCCACTCCTTCCTAATGCAGGCCACACCCCAGAGTTTCTAGACCAAGACACTGGGCTAGTTAGTTCCAGAAGCTGTGCTGATCTCTATGGTTAGGTTAAGGAGATCTGCGGATAAGATTCCTGAGCTCTGTAACTTGGCAATTCTGCACTATCTAAGCAGTGTGGAGTGGTTGAAAGAGCAGTGGGAATGGGGTCAGAAAACCTGGCTTCAGGCTCCCACTCTGCTGGGCCTCTTTGTGCTTTCTTCCCCCATTAAAACAGGGAGAAGAGTACTTGCCTTGCCTTGCTTCATGGCGGGGTGGGAAGGAAGGCTGGACTGAGGTGTAATACCAAGTCACAAGATCAGTGTTTGAATCCCCGCTGTTCTGTGTTCGTGCGGCATCTTTGGCAGCTCACTGCCTCTCTCTCTTGGTTCTGGGTTCCTCTTTTTGCAAAATGAGGGTTTGGACTGGCAGAACTCTAAGATTCCTCCCAGCTCCAGACACTAAGAAAATGCTCAAACCTTAACACAGTTATATAAATGGGAGTTGTGAAATGTATCAGGCTGACAAGTTGGCATCTCCAGAGGTTGGTGTGTCTGTTTGGAGAAGGGAACATTGGAATACGTGTTTTCTGCGTGTTGACGTGAGTCTGGGTATCTCTGTGAACCTGCTTCTCCATTTCTGTCTCAATCATTTTATGCAATACCCCTGGGCTAGGTACTGGAGAACTGAAGACACATTTGTTAAAGCGTGAGCCAGATGAGAGAGGAAATGAGCCAAACGTGCTCCCAGCTGGGGGCTCTCATTCCAATTAACCTTTACTTATGGACACCCCCAAAATATAGGGATGCAGCCACTCCATGATCTCCCCTTACTGCTGCTACTATCCCTTGCCTTACCTGGGCATTTTCCCCCTTAGCACAGAGTGATACCATGGTTGTATTTTTTTCAAAATGCTCTTTCTTAGCCCTTAACGGATAGGAATGAAAACAAAACTCTTTGCAGAGCACAGGAACAAAGACTGGGATTAAGCCTAAAATCACCCTATTTAATCATTAATAAGAGCAAAAGCTCTGGGCTCAATAGCCTTGCCTTTCTTATCCTGTTATTATTATTCCTAACGTACTTACTGTTGTTATCATCAATAACAATTGTTCAGTTGTTTCTGATTTCTTTATGTTGTCTGACTATGACCCCATTTGGGGTTTTCTTGGCAAAGATATTGGAGTCGTTCACCATTTCCTTCTCCAGCTCATTTTATAGATGAGGAAACTGAGGCAAGCAGGGTGAAGTGACTTGCCCAGGGTCACACAGCTAATAAGTATTTGAGGCCAGATTTGAACTTCCTGGCTCCAGGCCTGGTGCTCTATCCACTGTACCACCTAGCTGCCCCTCTGTAACAATAACTCACAATTATCTATTGTTCTAAGGTTTACAGACTGATTTATGTACTGTGTGCCTGTGTAGTAGGTAGTGTAAATCTTATCATTCTCATTTTACAGATAAAGAAACTGAGGCTCAAAGAGTAAAGTGTTCTGTCCATGGCCACACAGCTAGTAAGCTTCAAAATCTAGACTTAAACTTTGAAGTCTTTGGGCTCCAAATCCACTGTTCTTCTCACCAAGTTGCTCTGAAGGAAACACTTTGAAAATCCTAGAAGGCTAGAGTAATGCAAGTTATCATTCGTAGTATTTGTAGTATGATATTTGTATAGTGTAGTTTATATATAATATATATAGTATAATACAGTATAGTATTTATAGTACAATTAGCATTATACCTGGCAATCAGTCCTCCTATCCTCCCAACCAATCATCTTTTCCCTGTCTTTATCTCCTTCTAAGCCTTGAATTACCCTCCCCCACATCTTCCAGGCCTAATAGCCCTGGAAGAAATCCCACACCATGTGGACTGGGTCCACTACAAATTTATGTCATCTGATCTCCACTGGGCTCTCACTGCTGCATGGCAATCCTTTTATTCTTCCCTAGTAGAGTCTCTCTCATGTTGCCCAGAGTGGCTATGCCAAAGCTTCAATCATTTTGCTATGATCATCCTCTGCCCACCCCTCCTACCCTGTTCTATACCTCAGAACCCCTTGTCACCCTCTAGTTTTTTGTCCTCTTCTTTGCTCAACCTCTGATGAAGAGGTGACCTCTCCCACCAAGATCAACTCCTATTCTTACCCCTTTGACCTCTTCCCCCCCCCATCTCCTCTAGCAAGCTGCCACCTCAATTATCTTTGCTCAATTTAAAATTTTCCATTTCTCCCTATCTATTGGCTCCTTCCCTGCTGCTCATCAACATGCCCAGGTCTTCCTCATCCTTTAAAAAACCTTCCCTTGAGCCTCCCATCCCCTCAAGCTGTTGTCCAATGTATTTCCTTCCTTTCCTACTTCTCCGCCTATTCTAAACTAGCTTCTAACCTCATCATCACTCAATGCAAATACTCTCTTTGTGGTTAAGAGACTCTAATGGTCTCTTAATTGCTTGCTAGAATTAATTACTAACAGATTTCTCTCAGCCCTCATCCTTCTTGAATTTTCTAAAGCTTCTGACTTGGCCAAACAGCCCCCTCCTCCTCCTACATACTGTCTCCTTTCTGGGTTTCTGTGGCAATGCTCTCTCCTAATTCTCTTCTTACCTGGCTTCTGCTTCTCAGAATCCTTTGCTAGATCATCACCCAAATCCTGCCGTGATTTCCCTCAAAGTTCTTCCCGAACCTTCTCTCTATATATCTACACCCTCTTTCTTATTATTATTATTTTTTTTTTTTGGTTAGGCAGTTGGGGTTAAGTGACTTGCCCAGAGTCACACAGCTAGTTGAGTGTATGTGTCTGAGGCTGGATTTGTACACCCTCTCTCTTGCCAACCTCATTAGCTCCTATGGATTCAATTATCATCTCTATGGAAATCATTCCCAGCTCTATGTATTCGGTCCTTGTCTCTCTCCTGAGCTTCAGGCTTGCATCACCAACCACCTGCTTCTTTTCATATCCCCAGTGGTTAGCACAGTGCCTGACATATAGTAGGTACTTCATAAATGCTTACTGACTGACCTGTTGGATAACTCCAACAGCATGTCCCATGAGGCGTCTCAAAAATTCATTCAACATGTCCAAAACAGAGCTTATTATCTCCCCTCACCAACCAATCCCTCTTCCTATTTTCACTATTTCTAACCACTCAAACTTATAACCTCAAAGTTATCTTGGATTCTTCTCTCTCCCTTACTCCCCATGTCCAATCAGTTGCCAATTCTTGCCAATTCTATCTCAACCGCAACATCTCTTAGATCTGTTCCCTTCTTTCTACTCACACAGATGACTCTCTATTTCAAGCCCCCATCACTTCTTGCCTGTATTATTGCAGTAGCCTCCTAATTGGTCTTTTTGTCTCCAATCTCTTCCCTTCTCTAATCCAGGCTCTCCACAATTGCCAAAATGGTAATCCTTTTAAAGCACAGGTCTGATCATATCACTTTCCTGCTCAAAAAATGTCAATGGCTGCCTATTGCCTCCAGGATAAAATGTCCATTCCCCTGTCTGACATTTTAATGATCTGATTCCAATCTATCTTTCCAGACTCATCTCATATTACTCCTCCTCATACACTTTATGGTCCAGTCAAACTGGTTCACCTGCTGTTCCCTGTACATGACATTCTGTCTCAGTCTCTGCACCTATGTCCAGATTTCCCTGGCATTTGATCCTTCCTCACCTCCACCTCTTGGCATCTCTAGCCCCCTTCAAGGCTCTGCTCAAATGTTCCCTCCAAGACAAGACATTTCCTGATGCTCGCTAGCGGTCAGTGCCTCCCTTAGAATTTCTTTGTAAATAGTTTTCAAAGACTTATCTAGCCTCTCCAATGTAAGCTTCTGGAGAGCAGGCATAGCTTCATTTTTGTCATTGAATTCCCAGTGCTCAGTTCCCTGACTTGACATAACAAATGCTTGGGGATTAAATGAATAACCTCATATTTAGAGCTGGGGGAGGAGGAGCAAATAAGCATTTTTATATAGCACCTACTATGTGCCAGGCACTATGCTAAGTACTTTTTATCAATATTGTGTCATTTGTTCATCATAATGATCCTATAAGGTAGGTACTATTATTATCCCCATTTTATACTTAAGGAAACTTAGGCAAACAGAGG